TCGGACTTCCTGTCGGTAAACACATATTCCTTTGTGCCGTTATTAATGGAAAGCTTTGCATGAGAGCTTACACGCCCACGACTTCCATTGACGAAATTGGCTACTTTGAGCTTGTGGTCAAAGTCTACTTCAAGAATGTTCATCCTAAATTCCCTAACGGAGGGATGATGTCTCAGTACCTTGACTCTCTTCCTTTGGGCTCGGCTTTGGACGTGAAGGGCCCATTGGGCGATATTGAGTACATGGGCCGGGGGCAGTTCTCGGTCCATGGAAAGCCCAAGTTCGCTAAGAGGCTTGCCATGCTTGCGGGTGGGACCGGGATCACGCCGATTTATCAGGTGGTCCAGGCGATATTGAAGGACCCGGAGGACGACACTGAAATGTATGTCGTTTATGCGAACAGGACGGAAGATGACATACTTTTGAGGGAGGAGTTGGACGAGTGGGCCCGGACGTGTGAGAGGTTTAAGGTGTGGTATGTGGTGGAGAAAGGCGGGGAAGGGTGGCAATATAGTACGGGGTTCGTCACGGAGAGTATCCTGAGGGAGCACATTCCTGAAGGATCGGATGACACGCTGGCATTGGCCTGTGGGCCCCCTCCTATGATCCAGTTTGCTGTGCAGCCCAACTTGGAGAAGATGAATTATGATATCAAGGACTCGTTGTTGATCTTTTAGAGAGAGAATGGGATTAATTTGTAATCTGTACATATGTATAACATGTTTTCCTGTTGTATTATTCTACTTTTGAGTTATTTTAATTATTCTTTATCGAAAGTCCTTTTCTTTATTGGGGTTCTTTTTTTTTTTTTTTTTTTTTTTCCCGGGGGTTCGTATCAGTGTATGAGGAACAATTTAAGTTGTTCCAAAAAATGCAATGTATTTTGTCATAGTTGATGTACAGAAAATTATTAATGCTAATTAAGTAAATCTACGGTGAATTTCAAGTCTGATCTGCCACTTTTTTGTACATTTAAAAATGTATTTTTTGGCATAACATTTGAAGACCAAGTTGATTATTATTATTATTATTATTATTATTATTATTATTATTATTAGTATTATTATTTTCAACGTTTGCGTTTAGTTGTGCTTTAGTTAATTAGTATTTAGGACGAAAGGATGTTAAAAGAACAATATATATATATATGAAGTAATTTATTAATTGGCGGTGCTTAATTGGAACATCTCAGTACTCGAACAACAATTCTTGACGTGCATGGATGGGGAAAAATTATAAGAGAATAAAAAAAAGTAGTAGTTTTGGCATAAAACATTATTTTCATGGCTTTGCGGCCCCAAACAGCTAAAAAAAAATAATAACTAAAAACATTTTCAAACCAAATGCAAAAAAAAAAAAAAAAATACTAATAGATATGCATGAATTCTTATGATTGCAATTACATTTCTTTTTATACAATGACCTAATGGTTATAGATTCATAACAAACACATGCACAAAGTACGTACTATATACATTCTACATTACATATAGATTCCTATCCCTCTCTCTCTCTCCTTTGTGAAGCCTTCCTTACCGAATTACCTCTATACAAGATATACAGGACAAAAAGTACTATATATATATATATATATGTATAACTAACTAGCTACTAGTGATCTAAGTACGCTATCCAGGTAGTGCCACTGACCTTGACTGCGCAAAAGATTATTGAGATTGATATTTTCATATTTTGCCCTTAACTCTTCAGTTCACCAAGGGCTAGAACTCGAGAAATGCTTTACATGGTGTGTGTGTGTGTGTGTATATATATATATATACATGTATAAAAAAAATTTAAACTTCATGCATGTGCTTGTCCTTGCAGAGCGCTACCAATTGCAAGCATTGGTTGATATCAAATCCAGAAACTGCTGGGTCGAATAAGACATCCTAGGAAGCCACTTGAGCTGAGTGATGAGGTGTTTGAGTGTGTACTCGTGTCAACTAAAATTTGACTTCTAATTGTTTCATTGTTTTTATGCAAAATAAGAGTCTTAGACCCCATACTGTATCAGAAAATAAAGAAGACATCTTAGGATCATTAATACTCTTTTTTTTTTTTTTTTTTTTTTAAAAAAAGGATCATTAAGCTTTCAAAAAAAAAAAAAAAAAGCTTTAAAAAAAAGAAAAAATAAATTTGGATCATTAGTACCTTAAAGATAATCATTCAGCTTACTTGTCGAATTTTGAATAATTATTATCGGATGACCTTAAATTCCCCGTAATTAAAGTTTTCTGTTATTTAGTTTATTTTTCAGAGCATTGTAATTATTATCGTTCGCGTAGTAAATGAAAATAATATAATTATATTTTGATGAAGATAAAATAATCAATTTCTACATGCACATATATGGTCATTATTTTTATATCACCAATATTAATACACACATATAATATATATATAAGAATAATGATGCATAATGCAATAGTCTCTACTTGTGGGGAATTACTATCATAAACATACAGTCCTAGTCATCGTGACAAGAATTGCAACGACAGGACAGAATTCTGCTACCTTATCACGGGTAAAAGAGAAAGGTAAATTTCTGTCCAGACAGTGAAAGCCTATCAATTTAGAGAACATTATATTTTCGAAAAGCACTAATGCTGTCGATCTCCAGAGCTGTGAATCCGATGTCATTAATGTCCCATCTTAATTCTTGATCTTATTTTACACGATTGATGTAAATTTATATTAATCACTTCGATGATTTTTGAATGTTCACTGAATCTTAAAGATAAAATATTAGGGTAAAATAATAGTAAAAACTGAAATATTATAAGAAAACTAAAAAGAACAATAAATAAAACGAGAGAACTGTGAAAGACAACAGTTGAACTAATTACAATCTCGCTTACATGTTTTGCGTTTTATATAAGCTTATCGATCATTGAAACAATAAATACTTTTATTAGGCTAAATTAAAGTTGCACACATGAGTTCATGTCATGTGTGATTTTGGAATTTGAAACTTTTGTTATTAGTATACGATTTGTGATTTATCATTATAAAAAGCTTTAAATGTAATTTCTCACATATATATTAGTATGTTTGGAAAAGATAAACAAAATTGTCGATATTTAATCAATTTACTCATGTGGTTTCTTTTTTATCTAGATTAAATAACAAACCACACACGAATCTACAATTTGACTAGTGTAAGTTTTGTTGACAAGTGAACCATAGAAAATAACAAATAAAAAATGAAAGAAGGGTTGATATTACCTGAGAATCAATACTGCAAGACAATTATATATGTAATGTGTGATTGTTATATCTTAATTGTTATATAACTAGCTAGTAGTAGTGTCGAACTCAGTAGGATACAATTACAATATTTATTGTAAAATGAGGGCACAACAACATATTTCAATTATTTAGTATGGGTATCAATTATAATTTTTTTTTTTTGAAAAATAGAATTAAATTTACAAATTTTTGAGAACTTTCAAGGGTATAAAACTGAAATATAGACAGGGAAAGACGGAGGGAACATTTTGAATAGTTTTCTATAAATCGGAGGGTGTTGTGAATGATTTTGAAAGTTCATGTGACATTTTGAAAAAAAAATACATGGTTCAGAAGGCATTTATGAAATTAATTCAGTTTTAATAATTGTCACGTCAGCAAAATCGTTAGAATTATAAATGGAGAAAGACATAAGTGGGCATTTTAAATGGTTTTCTATAGGGGTGTTTTAAACGGTTTTAAAAGTTTAAGGGATATTTTGAAAAAAGGTATATAATTTGGGGGTATTTATGAAATTAAGAGTAAAAATAGAAAAACCATGTGCGGTTGTACTAGTTTGAGATTGTAGGGTGAGCAAAAATTTCCAAGTCCATGGCGGGCGGAGGCAGTTAGTTAATATGGATTGGTCACGAAAGGTTGTGAGATGAACCGCCGCGTCCAAACTAAAGCCGAGCTTGGCCTAATCCTCTTCCCTTGAGCCAAAACCTTGTTGTTTGGCACACTGAAAGGTCAACTAATTTTTAAATTATTAACAATTATTTCCCCGATCTAGCAACAAGGCTAATAAATATGTTAATTATTAGAAAAAGGAGGTGAAAAAGCATTTCAAAAAAAAAAGTTGAAAAAGAATTCATAAAAAATGGAATCAAAGGGTAGATTCCAGCCATGTTATCCCCCACCTGAGGTTTGAATTGGGAATCTCTGTTTTTTCTTTTCCCATTTAACAATAAACACTTTTAAAGGGTTCATAGATTTAAATTTTTAATTTGAGCTGAGATATGATATTTTTTTAAAATTTTTAACTGTAGCAGAAAAATTTAAATGTAATATTTTTTAAAAACTTCTAATTATAAAAATTTAGAACTGAAAATTCGATTCGGTGAAATAAACGAGGCATTTAATTTTGTTTTTGGCAAGTTACGATATTATTAAACAATTCATGGGTTTTAGCACAAACGACAAGACTCTAGCTGCTTCTTTAGCAACATGTTTGGAGATTTTTCTGCAAGTTGCTGGTCGTTGGGGCTTATTGGCTTCTGGGGACTTTTGGCTTTGAGAGAGAGCTAGCCAGTTTTATGAGCCGTTTCTGTGATCATGAATAAAAGTCATAATATATGGAGTCCTGCCTTCTACAAAGAACATCAACTCTAATAATTCCATCTCCGTCTGTCAAAATAATTAAAAATGTTTCAAAAAGAAAAAGTAAGCATATAATGGAGATAAAGTTTGCGCCCTATTCTTTATCCTAAATTTCACGAATTAATTGAAAATTTTCACCAAATTTATGACGTCTAGCATATTTTTTCACAAAAGGATAAACTTATTTAAAATATGCATAATAAATAGTATTAGAAGACTGAAAAAACAAAATTGCGTTTGATGACGTCGAAGCCTACTTCATTCTCAACAATATACCACGGAAAAGTAATCAAGAAATGTTTTTTTTTTCTCTTTTATTTTTTTAATCAAACAAGTGGGTTTGGTGTGTTGGTGGGATTCTCTTTTGCCCAGTTGCCATTATGAATTTAATAATTGAATCCACACAACTCGGAGACGGCTCCAAAAACATTGGGCGGACGTGGAAGAGCCAAAAGATTAACAGTGCGCTCCCCGCTGTCATGTAGTTAGTCAAAGATGACTAATAATAGTTAGCGATCATTTCATGGATTAACTTATTAATCATGTCTCTATCTTGCACCCACCAAAGTCTTCTTTTTTTTTTTTTTTTTTTTTCCCTAAGGAAAATAGGAAGTCTTCTTTTTCCCTTCTCCATATTACGTATTAGTTTAAGTATGTATTTGTTGGATTACAAAAACAATACTATTAGATTGTTCTGTTGTCCTTTTAATTATCAACCAATATTGAATAAGCCCCATGCATTAAAAAAAAGGAAAGAAAAAAAAATTAATGTACGAATTATTTGGCATGTACATGGTGTACTAGTCCTGTCAAAAAGGTTCAGAGACGCGCAACAAAGGGGAAAAAAATCATTTTAAAAAATGTTATCTTTTTATTTTGTTTTCTCCTTTTACCTTCACGGGGATGAGGTCTCATTCATTTCACTGATTCGAGTTTAGAATTTAAATTTTGTTACAGTAAAAAACTCTCACAAACAGTCACAGTTACCTTTTTATTTTGTTTTCTCCTTTTACCTTCACGGAGATGAGGTCTCATTCATTTCACTGATTCGAGTTTAGAATTTGAGTTTTATTACAGGAAAAAACTCTCACAAACAGTCACAGTTACCTTTTTATTTTGTTTTCTCCTTTTACCTTCATGGAGATGAATTAGGGCTTAATTGGCTTAATTGGCTTAATTT